AATTTTATCTATAAGCAAACAAGAAATTTTTTTTAACTTAACTTGAGTTAAAAAGTTAATATTAAATTTTGGTTAACTCTTAACTTAATTCAATTGATGGAACATTTTGAATTAACTTTTAACAATTAACTTGATTTAGATTTTAATTTAACTTAACTTAACTGAGTTAAAAAAAATCATTAACTGCCCACCCTTGTGTCTTTCTCAGAATCGAGTATAATCAAATCATTTAATCGGGAACTGGTCATAGTAGTTCTTAAATGGTTTTTGATTAATTTTAGCTTGCTGAAACATCATTCATTTGAAGCTGTGGTAACTGGTGATGTTAATGCCAAACGACAAAGTTCATTAGCCATAGGAATTTTTGTCTTTAATTTGTTGGCTACATCCATGACGTTAGCCAATGATTTAGCATTTTCAGTTTGTAGCCTTAATATATTTATCTCACATAATGCGCTATTGAAATCTGTTACATTAAACATTAGACATGTCACAGTTTTTTGGAAACAAGGAAAATGCTTTTTCTACATATTTTACAGTTATATTTGAACTTATAGGCGCCGATAATACTTTAAAAAGTGGTTGAATACAAACCAGACAAGATTTCAAATTTTCTTCCACATGACAAACATTCGACCTTAGTGCATTTGCGTTTTCTTTTATTATTGTCACACATATTTAAAAACGTAGTACTATTGTACTAATATTTTAAAATGTAAACATATAAATGATTAAGACAAGAGCACTTTCTAACGAGACGACGTATGAAGGAGGCACTGTACGTAAGAATAGAAGATAACTATGGTCTATGATTATAAATTGTTTCATGATAATAATAATAATTATTACAATATGTTCAGCAAGCTGTTCATCAAAAATATCACTATGTCTATTTTTATCGTCAGTATTGCGATAACTGTGAGTGGTAAATACGTCCTGCAACTGCCAAACGGCGACCGTTTGCTATCCGGGTTCCAGGAAATACGTTTATTTAGCCCGTATACATGACGTATTTAATACAATAAATGTAAAATATCGATATTAATTTTAGCTGCGGAGACACGGAAAAAAATCATCACATTGACCCATTAAGTTTGAAATAGAACATTTTTCCACCTTGGTTTATTATCATATTTTTTATTTGTATTTTTATATTTTATACATATTTTTGTTGTATTTGACAATGTGTAATGTGCCGACTGCAATATTAGGTTAAATGAGTGAGGGGTWGTGACGACCCCTTAAACCCCCCCCCTCGCTCCGGCCCTGATTATATCATTGAATTAAAATTTAATACCATTATACAGTGACCAACTTGTAACCTACTAACTACTGTAACTTACTCGCTTTTTTATTTTATTTTACCAATATTAAAATATGAAATAAAATATTTTTATATTTATATATTTTATTTATTAAATAAATTATTTTCAAACCAAATAAGGGCACTGAAATATAATTGAAATTATGAAAAAATGTATGTACTTCAATATAACATATTTTTAAATTTTATTTCTCATTTAAAAATTATTCATAAAGACAAGTGATTGGTGTGATATTTGTATATTTTTACATTATTATTTTATGTACGGCACTGCTTATCGCTTATCGATATAATGACAAGTGCCGTGGCCGACCGAGGTAATTTTGCGTATACGATATAGTATAATATGTTAGTGTTCGTTATAATGTTGTATCGCGAACAACTTATTGCCAAATAAAAAAGCGGGTAATTCGTGGATGTCATTCTGCTGTACAGTAGGTTACAAGTGGGTTACTGTAATGGATGGAATTCAATTTGAATCAAATTATATTATATCATTGTATACGTAAAACGCTTCTGAGCGGAGACGGT